TATCACAATCAAAGAGAACAACATATAAGTAAATGAATAACCAAATGTCTTTAGTGAATGAATGTCTTATTTTGGCTCACATTTTCCTATAAAACTCCGCATGGTCACAGCTTGCAGCGAACAATCAAGCAAACTATGTGTAATGTATGCCCTTCACAATTGATATGCAAAAGTTAACCTTCATAAAGTTTATATTTTTACCACAATGTTTTAGTAATAGTCTACATCATAGCACAGATGTCCACCAAAAAAGGAGTGTTTTTGGATATATACTTCTTGAGGTTATAGTTCCAATTTTGGAATCAAAACTTTCTACAATCAACCGTCAGATTTGATCGTCCATATCTAACATGTCTGGATATTTTGATTGGAATTCGCTCGTACAAAATAGAGTAGTGTATCGTTGAGTTTAATTATTTCTTATCTTATTATTTTCAACATTTTTTTGCGCAAAGCATTTGCGAAGGTTTTCAGTAAGCTTCATGACACTTACAGTGCGAAAGCAGTGAGAGCGTACATGTAGATTGGCTAGAAATGTTTGGAAGATGTTGGTTCTTCATTGACTAATCAGAAGCGAGAGTACCGTCAGCTAAGTACATTTTCACGTGAAAATGTCGTAGAGTAATTTCTTAAGTGCACATTCCTGACATAACTCTGCTCGGTCACAACTATTTGGTTCACAAGGAAAGGAAAGCAAAACAACCATTAGGTCATTCTAATGTCAAGTGTGAACTGGTTTCTGTTTCTGATTAATCGGCCCTAAATGGTTTATATTTTTGGTCTATTCGACATTAAGATATTTACACATTGATGTATACACCTTGCAAAGACGTTGTCATATAATTAATACAACATTTGCATTTAGTAAAGGGAATACATTAAGCGTGCATTTCACTAGCGCATAAGCATAGCATAAGCACAAGCATGAGAATCATATGCGCCAGGGAGAACGGTCTCGACATAAGCATAAGACATTGAGCATGCGCACGAGCGTATTATTTCGGTACCAGGCTATGCTTATGCCTATGCAGTCCCGTTCTCACTGAGCATAAGCATGAGATAAGCGCAAGAAGATCAAGCCTTGCTCGTTTTTCTTGTGCTCATGCTTATGCTTATTTTGAGCACGTTCTCACTGGCGCATATGACTCTCGTGCTTCGTGCTTATGCCTATACTTATGCGCTAGTGAAATCCACGCTTTACATGTAACTATATAGACAAAATAAACGGTTCTGCCCAGTTTCTATTTTGTCTTTTTTAATTTTTTCCTTTTTACTAAAGCGCAAATGTTCTTTTTCCTATGACAATTTTTATGTGCATATCAATTTAATATCAAATTTATGTTCATCTTCTTATTGATGCACTCTTGAGGTTATAAAATGCCTCTACATGTACCCACCAGCTTTCAGCCTTCCATCCTTTGCTGCTGCACCTCCCTCAGTAATCGCCTTGACATAGATACCAAGGTCTAACCTTCTAGAGTTTTCACCACCAAGAACTGTAATACCTGTATGAATAAATCATTTTATCATATAATTATCTATGAAATACCGCTATATTTCTCCATTTCGTAAAATTGATATTTTCACTAGTGAAAATAACACATTCGAGGTTTCTCCCTCATTGGAAGTAAGAAAAAAAGGCATTTTACGACATAATTTGCTTCCATATGTAAATGATAAACAGAATATTACATGATCGCTTGGAGATACGAATTTTATCTTCTCGTGTTGAAAATCTCGCTACGCTCACTCGTGAGAGATCTTTTCAACACTTGATGATAAGATCCATATCTCCGCGCGCCCATGTAATATCCTCTATATATTAGTCATGAATAACCCCTTTAGTCAGGCTTTCACTAAGTTCATCTGAAATAAATGTTTATATGGAAAACTCACATCTCATTGCATTCATATTTTGACACAAGTTTTCATTTAATGTGATATTTTTGTGTGTTCAATAACAAATGACAACAAGTGTGGTAAACCATTAAAAAAACATATAACTTATGAATTTTGTCTCAATATATTTTTTTTAAATTTCAAGAAAAATTAGGAAAAAAGTAATATCTTCAACTTGGTTAAGTGTAGTGCATGCTGAAAGTTTATGAATTTTCAAACTTTGCATCATATTCTGAACTGAACCAGAAACAAAACTTAAATTTGGCTTGCTGAAGTCAAAAAAGTCACACTTGTTCTCTGATAGCTTGTTGGACTTTTAGCAAGACAAGTTTACAGGATGATTCAGTTTTCAACCAGTGATATGCTCACTTGATTTTAATTATGGCCTCAAACCTTTTCTCAATTACTTTGTGAGACAAAAGGAGTCTGGCTTGTGGCAAGTCTATGCTTCAAGACTTGAGTGAGGTAAGTAGGATTTCTTATGTTTCTACTTACCAAGTCCTTTAAAGGGTTCTTTTCTCAGCTTAATGACTCTGATCTCTCTCTCAGGTGATGCAAGGACATCTCTTGGCTTTGATACTTCCAGGTCTGTACAATACAATACAATACAATAATTTTATTAAGCAATCCAAAAATGGCACGCCTAATTTACAATAGTTTCCATATTTAGAAAAAAAGGTCAATCTGATAAAATTACAGTGATGAATAAGAAATATAAATTTCCCTATTTACAATAATTTACAATAATTATAACAATATATTATAACTAATACAATACAGTTCAAAACATGAGAATTAAGGAATAACTATAATATAAATACTGAAAGGACTCATTATTTTGAACAATGTTGTCTTCTGGTCACAAAATCACAATGTAAAATTTCGAGTTTCTGCCAAAAAGCTGACTTCAGATTACATTCCTTTGACAAAAGTATTGTAAGATACTGAAGTGATAACGGTCTTTCTTGGGGGGAGAGAAGGGAAGAGGGGGCCATGATTATAGTTATAATCATCAAGCCTTAAGATATAAATATTAAAAATGCACAAGTATTGAATATAACTGAATATAATTCTAACAATTTTACACCACATTAATAACATATTGAATCCAGAAATTCTTGTTTCTTGTAAGACCCAGACCTTGACTTAATTCTTTGAAGGATAATTTGAACTCATAACAGAAAATACAAGCTGAAAATTGATTGACGCCATTATTTTTGTAGTTTTCAGGCTGAACAATAATAAAATAATCATCTACTCTACCTTGTACCATGGTTTATAGCAGTAAGACTTAATACAAGAAGTACACCAGAAAACACTTAACTTACATCTGATAGTTGTGAGAGTATGTAACTATATGATCTCTACATATAGTTGATTTAAGCCGATTTAAGCACACAAATAAAACTTATAATGTCTATGGTTTTCGTTTTAATCAATGATTGTGATAAATGAATGAATTTGAGTGAATGGTTATATAATTGAAATTTGCCCCAATCAGGTGGTTTTGTTTTGTGGGTGAGAATGAAAAGGAAGTACATGTTGGTTGTAGTTAATTGATTATTCATGAGTTGATGGTTAGGTGTTGATAATCAATTCTTTATACATGGAACCAAACAAGGTACTTAAGGTATACAAGGACATTATAATTATGTACAGTCACTTACAATAATAATAAGAATAAGCAAGAAATAATTCAGAAAATCAAGAGCTTTACTCTTTAAAAATCAATCAATTATTCAATACCTAATATATACATCTAGATAAATAAATCATGTATAAACACCATTTAAAGAAACAAATGAAGTGTCTTTGAAAATACTATATTAATAATGACTTCTTTTAAGTCAATAAAGTTATTGCCAAATGAAAATGTTGCACGGCATGTCAGTAGCATTTTTTTTTAATTTAAGTCCCTTAATTAGGAGCAAAATACCTTAAATACACGTTGTTCTCAATTGGAAAATGAACATGTGTAGATAGTAGGTACACATTAGATAAATTCTTTATTAGAAAATAATAATATTGCCATAGTTTGTATGTACTTTATCCTCCTCCCACCTGACCAGTGTTGATAGGAGTTGTAATTAGAAACAAGGTCTGACACCTGGAGGGAAGGGGGTATCTGGAATTTGCTGTTCATAGGAATTTGCATCAGTCCCATTTATATTTATTCATACAATCATTAATGACATTCTGACTGTAGTTGACAGTTAAACCTTTAATTTGCCATCAGATTAAAGAATGTTTTTAAACAAAACCCTAGATAAGCATATTTTCAAAGAGTTTGACTGACTGAAGAAAAAAAATTAAAATCACATGAAATTGTCCACAACCATTGAATCTTTGCCACATGTTCACTGATTTTGGATTCAATCAATATGTAAAATGTGGAATTGAACTGTTTCATAAGTCATACTATTTTCTAAAATTCATCAATGAATTTCATGGAATCAGATGCAAAATGTGCTGTACGAATGTACCATCATTCATGCTGTGTTTAGAGTTAACTGATCATTAAACTTTACTTAACAATACTTAATATATAAGTTTCAAAATAGAAAAATAAAAATATGCTTTAAAAATAACTATTAATTATAATAAGTACATAATGCATGCATTAATTGGCTGAAATGTGTAAAAAACTGTGTTTCCATAAGAGCATAGAAACACAGCAGCTTTCAAATGAAGAGTTGTTGTTATTTTATAAATAAAGGCCTTTTCCATATTTCTATACCTTAAAATTATCAAATAAGTGCAAAAACAATTTAACTAAGAATGTACTCTGAGAAAGAATGAAGTGAAGTGAAATATTCACTTCTTCAAAATATTAATAAAAAGTTAATAAATTCATATTCTCTCAGACAATTGTACTGACATTATATTTAATTTGTAAAAAATATAAATTCAAATAATAAGGCAAGTACATAAATAATTTTCATCAATAGAGGACAAAAAAATCTGATAGTCAAGATGCAAAATTAATGTGTAGGGCCTGTAGAATCAAGTAGGCACTGAAGACTAAGATGATCACTAATGCTCTATGAACAATTGATAATAGACCATGATGTTAATCTGAACTCATCAACCAAAAATTGAATTAAGAAATACAAATGATTTTGGTTAAAATGAGAGCCACATGACATGCAGTCATATATTGTAAATAATATATCAGACTATGGGAACAGCAACATGTACTCATTCATAATAAAACACAATAAAATATCATTATCAAGTAAAAATGATCATTCACTTGATGATATGGTGAACAATAGCTACCAGGTGTCATAACTAATACTTTTCACAACCATGACTTCATTCTAATCATTTGAATATCACTAGAAATCTTGAAAGATAATGTAAATAATTCCTAACAGAATGGCAAGTACAATCATAGAAAATTAGTTTAGAGGTAAAATTGCTAGAAAAAGAACTCTAAAATATATGACATTCACATCATTCACAACATTTCTAGTGTGTCTGGTGTCTTGTGCATAACTCAAATACACAGCAATGCAGAGAAAAAGAAGAGTCTATTATCAAAGCAAAACAGTTGGGACTGTATTAAAAATTATAATCATTTGTAGGAAACCACATAGACACCAAGTCAGACAAATCTTATGTTACTGCAAAAAATACTACTTTCATGCTCAAAAAGCAAGTTATTTTAAATGAAAACCAAGTTAGCAAACTAAAGGAAATCTCAATAATTGTTCCTAGCAGATTAAGATACGTGACTGTATGGCTTACAATTTATAATAATAAAGAAAAAGGAATTATGATGGAAATTTTAATTAAACCAAAATATTTTTGAGTGTAACATAGTGATAGGAAAACAAACAAGAAAATAAAAAAAGATAAATACAATAAACATCATGTAAGAAAAAAGGAAGAGAATTGCTGGAAACTTTAATTGAAGCAAAATAATTACATTGGACAGCAAAAGTCAGAATATTAGTGGAATATCAATCTTATGGGTATCATTTACAGGTAAGATTGTTGATCAGAGTAGATTCCCATTATGAGGAATTTGAAGAAAAACAATGAAATAAAATAGATAAATATGACACATCAACATACAAAGCTACAAACATGGACTACAAACCTACTTGAAACACTAAAATATTGATGTAGATTTTGTCAAAAAACCTTGTTCTCTTCAGTCACAACAGATATCAAGAAATGAATTTAAAAGTACAAGAATATAGACAGTAAATGAACCGTTCTATCACCTTACACTTTAAAATCCATACCTTGTGGAGGTAGAAGTCTTTCCTTGGCATCATCTTGCTGGTTTGGCTCTTGCTTACGTGGATCATTGAGAGTAGAATCTATATTTGAGTAAATCATAATAACATATAACAAAGATTACAATACAACTGCTGTATTCTGTCACTTACAGTTGAATTTCTTAGGTTTTCTGAAGAACTGCAAGCAAGAGCAGTTTTTCATTGATAATATAGCATACAATACAGCTTTAAAAGGCTAAGCTGAATTTCACATTGTTTGACTAAAAAGTGAATTATCTTTAGAGTGTCAAATGCAATTGTTAAGTGTTCATTTCAAGGCAGTTTGACGATATTCTGCTGTAGACTTTACGTGATGTTGCTATCCACACAGTCTAATTAATCACTCTTGTGTCTTCATTTGCATATCTAGGTAGTCTTGAACAGGATATAAGATTCTGGTTGGTCAGTGTATGTTTTGTTTGTCAATGTAGATAACAACAAACCTCTAAGATTACTGTGAAACTCTAAAATATAAGCAAGGTCTCTACATTCAATCTGTACAAGAAATGTCATCCAATTTTGTTCAAATACAAAACACACAACAATGTCTGGAACACTATATATACTTAGTAGATAGAGAACAAAAAAGCTTATCTTTCAGATAATTTTAGTATAAACTTGTACTATTTTTAACGTTCTAAAGATTGACATAAGAAGAGTTGTACTTGTAGCTGTACAGAGTGACAAGGACACTAGAAAGTCAACATTTAAAGAGAGTGATCCACATTAATAAAGAAGAGATAAGAAAAGGAAAATATAGTAATAAGTTTTATCAAAAGGCAGGTGCAGTGGAACTGATACTGCTACCAGAATTAATTAAATCCTTGGAAAACACTAAAATACAAGATATGGAAAAATTATCAAAAATTAAGTAAAATATCAAATGACTGAAAGTCTTTTTTGTAACAATTTAATATCTTGTGATTAGACTTTGCCATAATCATTATAAATGAATAATTTAGAAATATTACTCACACATATTGAGAAATGGTGTTTTTTTACTTTGTTTTGAAATTAGAATTGTGGTATATCATATTTTTTGTTGACTTACTTTTGAAAATCAAGTAAGTTAGACATTTGTTGTGCAATTATTCATAAGTAGAAAATCTGTTGTAAAATGCACATGAAAAGCCTTTATACATAGAAAACAAAGCGTAGAATTTCCACAAGAGTCATGCTTAGAAAAATATCAACCTAAAATATTCATTACAATGAAAATAATTTTCCTTGTTTCAGATTTATAATCATTACAGAAACTAAACACTTTTGGCATTTGGTAAAACCCTAATTATGAATTTTGTTTTAACATGAATGTGCCAATTATAAGACATAATTAGCATAACAAAATGCTTTAACTCTCTTTCATTAGCTAAGGATATGTTGGCTATTTTATTCTTATTAGTGGTACTAATTCCATGCTTGAATTTTTAATGTGTGTCTTGGTGTGGTACTGATATCAACTCAAGTTAGTCTCTCTCCCTCAATATTGACTCCACTGAATGTACACATCACCTTCAATACTAAAGTGTTAGTAAAAAAACACTTAAAAAAGGATGTTAGCTTTATTAGTGGTGTTAAATAAAAAAAATGAAAAGGTTAATTATAATAAGTAAAAATGAAAAATCACTTTTAAAGAAATGCTATAATCATGATTATATAAATCTATGAGATGACCTTATACAATACAAAGGAATATATTATACTACTTCAACAGTCTAATCACTAATCATTGCCAAGTGACAATAAAAAAGCATTGTCTGTATACTTTTCAAACGACATGAAAGAAACTTTTGTCAAAAAATGAATACCAATCTCAAAAATAATCCTTCTGTAATTATGGTAAAAATTATAAATAACACAGAATATGTAGAATATACTAGAAAATTCTCAAAAATTGTAATAATTATACCATTGCTAACAATGAATATTATAATGAATATCACAACTATAAAAATATATCTTAAGGAAGAATTAAAATAAACATGAAAAACAGAAAAAGGGCAAAAGCATATAGAACATTCTGATAAACCTAGTACATAGAACTACTAAAAATAAGAAACAAAAAAAACCAATACAAAAAGAGAGGGAAAAAAATAAAACAGAGATTCAGCAGTATTACTTCATTATTCTTATGATTTCAAGGTTTTTAAGACAAAAGTCAACAGAGACACACATATCCATGGTAACAAGACCAAAATATTAAAAACAAATTAGCAGTAGTTTGTATTTGAAGCTATCTTGGCAGGAAGAACTTGTCAACACCAGTCACTATACAAACTTAGAGAAAGCAAGACTCCAGACCATACAATATATTTGAGGAAAAAGAAGCCCTGAAGGCAATCATCTTAGCCTTTCCTAGATCATAATAGCTGCAATAAATTATATAAAGGGTTTAGAGTATATGATGCTTAACGACAGGCAGTTATACTAGTTGCCTAGCAACACAAATATAAATTGAAAAGACTAAAATCTTGATTACGAATTTGAAAACATTGAAAAAGAAAATAGGTAGTTTCAATAGAAGTACTTAACGTCCTAACCATTTACATGTAAAATAATAATAGCATTCATTTGACTACAAAAAGTACTAAAGGTTAAAACCTTTGGATTTTACTATCATTTCATTCAACAATAAATTGCTCTTTTTTCCAAGTTTAATCTGAATAATATCCTAAAGAAAAGCACATCCAAAAACATCCAAAAAATAAAATAAAAAAACGTATCTGGCACTAAGAATTATTGTGAATAAAATTACAATTTTGGAGAACAATTTCTAAAATATCTATTCAACAAAATTCTAATATAATTTGAAGTCTTAATTTTTGGGTAGAGATAATGAGCACAGAGAAAAATATAATAAATTTTGACAATATAGCTTTTACTAAATCACAGTTTGAAGTTTCTCAAAAAATATAAGACAGCAAGGAGGGGAAGGCGAAAATCTAATGAAAAAGAGAGATAAGACAGGGAAATAATTATTGTAATTTACACCTCATAAGAATAGGAATACATATATGACTCATGCAAAAAACATTGAAAGAAACCAATGTTATAAATACATAGAATGAAATACTAGACGCAGTTAGATAATGGATAGAAAACAAAATATGAATATAAAAAAGCCAAAATAAATACAGTGATTGCTGTCAAACATGGTCAATGTGAACACAGAATTCACTTAACAAAATGCTTTGAAATTTGTTTCTTGACACAGCAAATACGAATAAAAATACAAAAAGCCTTAATTGACAATTTTCTATCCAGTGAGAATAATCAAGCCAACAAAAAATATTTGAATAAATAGAATTATTCAAGAAATTAGTTCTCTTTGTTATAGAACTAGTAGTTTAATTCAAAAAGAATATCAAAACATTAGGAATGTTTTTTATGATTAAGATTGTTATGAAAAACATTAAGAAAAACTATGTAATTCAAAACAAAAATGGTGAAGGATGATTAAGTTCGATAAGTAGATACTATAAGACCACAATGAATTGAAGAATATCACCTTTGAAGGTCCATCTACAACCTCTCCATACACAACCTTTGCTTGCTTTCATCTACACAGCAGGTGTTTGCTGCCAGACTGCAGCTGGATTAAGATACCATTCTCATCATCATGAACGATAGAAAGTAGATAGATGGCAAGGAGTAAGCATTAAAATGACTACTTCCAGCAAGAAGTCACACATCTTAATTAACCTTGTTGGTTTTTAACTGTTTAGTAGGAAATCATAGTAAGTTGTGATAGCACAAGATCATGTTGCCTTCATTAGGAAGTGCAAAGAATTCTTTAAAATGACCAGATAAGTCACCACAGCAACAGTCAACTGAAAAGGGAAATGATATTCAAATTCTAAATTGAAAGTGTCAAACAATGATGGATTAGCAAGGAGGAACACTTTACTACAGATATCACTGCAGCTGTTGTGTCTTGACAGAATATATAATGTAAGATCAATTACGAGGCTTTGACTGAGTATCTTCACTAGGTAAATATAATGTCAACATAGAAAGTACCTTTTCAATAAGGTGTAAGCAAATTATAATTGCATCTTGTACAGAACTACAATAGAATTAGTACATTCACAACATTTTATAGCATTATTATATTTGGTGATCAACAGCAATGAATGACAATGTAACAATTAACCCATAACAGATCTTGAACACTTGACTAGTTTGTTACAAGTCAGAGGTCAAATCCTCATCAGATGAACAATCATAAGATAACTGTCTTTGTTTCTCACAACAAATTTTCTTGTCAAAAGTGTTAATCCTGAGCTGTGTCTTGCATGTCTTCATTATATTTTTACAAGAAGCATAAAGAAACCCACACAGCACTTTTCAACTAAGAGTAGAGCAATGAGCTTGTCCTGCTGTCTAGGGTCATAGAATATACTCCTGAATCAACAGTTATTTTAAGAATTGATGAAGCACAGTTAAATGGAAGTGGGAAAAGAGATTACAAGAATATTTCATATTTAATCACTTGACAACAACACTGCTCCATGTTTCGAAATAAATATCAAGCCTTATTTGAAATAACAAAATGCTTGATCTGAAGAAGAAAGAAAGGAATAGCAATACGTCATGTGACATAGCCTTTGTATTCTTTTGTCAACCAGAAAACAAAAAGCTATTAAAATTGAACAAAGAAATTTGTGAAAAGCTACATGTATGGTTGGAAACAAAAGCATGTCGAGTTTGTTCTTAAACATGATGCACTGACACATCGTAAACAACATCAAAACAAAGATCAAAGACAACCAGACTATGCAGTATGCTACCAATGGTTGGTGTGTTTTACTCACAAAGAATATTTTAAAAGTGTCCCTTAAACAGGTTCTTTAATATTCTAACCAGCTTTCAATTATTTAATTACTTCATGGCAGATTGTCAGTCATGCCTTAGACCTAGTGTACCAAAAGCATGGTTGATAAAAAAGGATTCTATCAGGTATCAATAGATATTCAGCCATGCTTTACATTGGTCCTGATAGTACTGTAATTATAATATGTTGATAAGAAATCAAAAGACTTCATATCATTCTGTTCATTCTGTATAATACTAGTAATCAGTGGACAAATAAATTGTATAAAATCTTCTGTATCAACTTCAAACACTAGACATGCACTGGTCAGTGAACTTTCAAACTGGTGTGTTGCGTCCTTTTGATTCATTTGAACTATTTCCAGAGGAACTTCACACCCCAATGATACCTGAAGGCTACTTCAGTGAGTGTATATACTTCACTCAGACATTTGAGCTGCTTGATTGTCTACATGTAGCTTCATTAAATGAGTCAAACTTCTTCCATGTCTTCAACATTTTAAATTTTGAAAGATAGGTTAAAATGAAAAAAAAAATAAACTAGTTCATATGTTTTTATTTGATTTGAAATAGGATAGCTTGGAAATTAATAGCAGTTCCTTGAAGGTTTTTGACATTTGGCCTAAAGCATTTTTTATTCAGTCAGGTGACTGATATTTGCAACAAGAAGTCACAACACTAACCTATAACATATGGTTGTTCATCATGCTTGTAATTTGTCTCGTCATGCACTGATGTAGTAGAAAGCATGCGATTTGCTGTTTTCCCATTACCATGGTTACCAACATTATGGTTAATGTCTACAGACATCTCCCTGTAGGTGTCTTTCTGTAGATCTTCCATACTGCAGTCCCGTGATATAGACCTTACCAGAACATTCCTTGGAGAGTCTAATGAGTTCTGCTTATAAGATGGTGGTGGATGTGTTCGTTCATATGGAGACACTTTTTGAGGACCATCAACACTTGGCTGCTGTTGCTTTTCAGCTGCAACTGAAAAATAAATAACATCATTTTTCTAGGTATCATAAATGAATGGAAGATAATAATGAAAAGGCAAATACTGCATAGAATGAAACAAGAGAAATAGATGTTTTAATGATTAGGTGGCTAAGCTTACAATCTAAAGCCACTTCATGTTCAATTGAAGCAAGTCTTGTTCTCATCTTCATTTGAAATCTGTGGAATGCTGTGCACATTGACAGTAAATACTTGGACCTATAGACAGAGAATAAAAACTTCACAATGCTGTGTGGTATATATGCTGTCAGTATAAATCAGTGCGTGAGTAAGTTATTTTACCATTGCCCAGTCAAACTTTATGAAACAAGACAGTATAAATTGACCCAAAATTATTATAGCACATCCCAAGACTACTGAATCATGGAATTTCAAGTTCATTAATCAATTACCATCCACCTCCCTGTCATTACTGTTAAAAAGGCAATAATTTCTACTTATAATAAAATGAATCCAAAACTCTATTTACTTTTTGTAGTGGTTAGTGTAGAACGTCAACTTAGCTCCATCTGGATTAGCTCTTGGTTCAATGAAGAACTTCTTTTTCTAAAATATCAGAAACAAAAGGTGAATATATAATACATTTTTTTTAGAAATTTGAAAAACCTCAAAACTTTTAGTATATGAACAATATACACAGTATACTTTTGATACAAAATATTCAAGAAGGAGAAATTGTCAATAATTTCATGGTCAAATGTTAGCCAACAAACCTTAAAAGAGATTTTTTTGGTAAGAGGCCATGAGTGTTTGTGAATTGGGCTTTTAATGTGTCCTGTAGACTCGTACACTGTGATTCCTCTCACACATATACCAAGATAAAGCTTCTCAGCATCAGACTTTTTGTTCTGAAAATACAATAAATCTCAAGACATATGAAGATAACATATGAAGATAACAGATAAATTGTGCAAAATTTTCACTACTTTTCAAGTACTTTTTACTGTAAGGACAAAAATGGTGTTTGAATTATTTTTTAAGATACTTTTTGATGGTTGGAAATGCTTCAAGAGGTGATTTTCAAAAATAGCCACATTTTAATCCAAACAGCAAAAAGCAACATGCTAATTTCATTAGAGTCACAGAATTTTCCAGGAGTTTTAGCAATTTTTTCCCATTTTATTTCACTAGTGGCCTTTGACAAACTTGTTATTTGTGGCTTTTGTCCACTTTTAACCATGGTAAATAGAAATGAGTTTGGTACACAATGCACCATGCTAACAAGGCCCACTTCAGACTCAAACACAATTGGTCCACATGTTCATATAATATACTTATAAGTACAGTGTATATGAGTGAGCTCATATTATATGCCACAATATTTCAAGAGTGAAATCACCATATCCATGATATGGTTGTCATGACAAGCAATTTGGGAACTTAGTACAAAACCCCAGTGTTCACTTAGTGCACTTTTGAGTGATTCCTTGCAAAGTGTTTAACAGATTGATTACACAGTAGTACAGTATTATAATTGCATACTATAAAGGTGTTTCCATTTATCAGCACTTTCAACTTACTGCTTGGACTTTATAGAAGTGAATCCCGTATTCTGGTAGTTGCTGTGCCTCCTTAACAAAGTCCAGCTCTGCTTGGTGTTCACTCAGACCAACAAAGTTTTGATGGAATTCGGGTAGTTGACTGACAGCATACTCAGAAGACACCTTATTGATTATCTACAATGGTCAATAGGAATGATTTAAAACAAAACTGAAAGGAAAATTAGTCCAATTTTGCTGACACAAGGCCACCAAACAGAACAACTGATAAATGAGAAACTTATTTGGTCTAGTTAAGTTGTAATAAGTCTTTTAATAAAAATTGCTTTAAAACTGTGCACCAAATTTTTTTTTGACATATTTGCTGACATTGAAAAGCTAAATAATTCAAAAACAAATGTAAGCAGGTACTTACTGTAACATCTATATTGGATTTACAATAATCACTATAATTTGTAGTATAGTAGTGATAAAAAGTAGTGATAGTTTTGTTGATACTATTTCTATCTGAGATCTGTTGATTCTAAGCTCTATAGTGTGGTTCTACAGTGATGCAGACAAAATAGCTTTGTGGTAAAAACCAGAGTTACAATAATCTTATAACAGCTGTAATTCAAAAAATCAATGATTTTCCAGTCATTGAAACAATGAGGAAACCCTTGACTTTCATTTTGTTGAAACAATATGTCAGAATGCTAAATTTATTCAAAAACTATCAAAATATGTTAAATCTGAAAAAAACCCTAGTGCTAGCATACTAGGATTGGTTTAATTTATGCAGTTGCAGCTTCATTCTATCTCACCTCACTAATGTAATACAAGCCTTTATGTCAATTATAAGGTCAATCCTATTATAGAAGCCCATATTTACCCTTGGATGAAGATAATGTTCCACTAGAAAATATTCCTGGTCTAGAGATTCATCATAGTCCCCTGTCTCAGCCTGTAATGCTAGCCCAGCCAGTACAAATGCTGCTTCCTCATGACAATACAACCTTCCTTCTAAAATGTCTTTACGCAGCTGAAGATAAAACTGATGATGTGATGATAAATGGCTGAAATAGAAATTATAGAGTCTCCATCAGCTTTAATAACAGACCTTCATGCCTGATAGAAAGCATTCTGTAAAATAGTTTGTTGACAAAATTAAACATTGATTAAAAAACCTAAATATTTATGGCTTTATGAACCTGGAGTGAGTTTTTACCTTAAAAGAGCAATGTGTTCCACATAAAACTTGACCCTGAAGTACAGGATGAATTCGACTATTTCTCCCTTGGGCTGACAAAATAAAAAGATTACATGCTTCATTGAAAGAATGATTTTAATAACAATCTTGATCACAAAATGGCTATTGTTAATAGGGTGGATTTTTCTTAAAAAAGGAAGTGAAAAATCTTATCTATAACTTGGCATACTGTATTAAATAAATCTTGTTAATCAATTTCTTGTTGCTAATGATACAAGTGAATGTTACTGATATGACTCTTATTTCTTCTAGCATCAAAATGAATGTCAATTTAGAAGTAACTTATTCTATGGATACACATTTACCTCTTTCCATTTGGGTGGGGCATACTTGGACAATTTTACATCAAGTTCAAGAAATATCACTTCATCATCTGAAATGCCACAATAAAGAAGAAAAAGTGATCATTTACATGTATTTAATAGATGCAATATCATGTGCCTTATTGGATACCATACCTTCCAGCTTAGCAAGACCAAAGAAACTCTTTTCTGTTATTCCTAAGAACTTGATTACATGTTCATAAAGATCCTTGGTTGTCATAGAAACCTGTAAGCATTACAAGTGAATTAATACTGGACTTAATGCTTGATAATTAGGTCTTATTAACCGAGCGCTAGGTCTGTACAGGAGAATCTTGACTGAGGTCTGTACCCGACCGAAGTCAAGATTCTCCCGTACAGACCGAGCAAGCTCGGTTAAAGGATTTTATTATATGACCGATTGACAAAAAATTAAAAATGAGCACGGCAAACATTTATTTAACAGGACTCAAAACCTGATTCAGACCGATGAAATGACGACTCGCTCGCGCACAGAGCCGGCGTGCGCTAGAAACGGTTTTGTTTTTAAAGTTTTACTTTGTTTTCGCAAAGGTTTTTGGCTTTATTATGGTAAACAAAAACAATCGAAATCGCTTTTCTATGGTCTGTACGCTTATCGACAATTCAAATGACGCCAGAAAATGATCAAAACTTGGTAGTCAAAATGTTTTGTTTTCTCTTCAAATGAAATTTCAATTTGTACAGGTCTCGGACCGGTCTACCTAGGAAAATATAGACCGGAGCAAAATCGAATTCGGCCAATTAAATGCCTCCATTTGCTAGCACCCAGACTCCTAGTTACAGGGTCATATAATAATATCTGATATGATCTTGAAAACTATCATGAGATCTGATTCAAGGAGGCATACCTCAGCCATTAACTGTAACTTCTGTCCATTCAAAGCGACTACAGTAACCATTTTCCTATTTTGGGAACTACCCTTTTTCTGTTATAAAAAAATATATACATATAATATAAACTAAGAATCAAATGAATTTATGCATACTGTGACTAATTATACTATAATTATAATAGATGGGTAGAATTAAAGTACATGATTGTGTGGCTTGACAAGTTGATTTAAAAAACAGCTTCTTGTAACTTGAAAGATGCTTCTTCTGCAGCTTGAGTTTGAGATTATAGGCTTATGTCAAGGATATAAATTTTAAAATTTCTATTTTAAACCAAAGTTGCTGAATAGATCATTCATTGTCAATGTATAAAAATCAAGCTGCCAATAGCAACACAACTCGAAGATTGATGGTGTAGATGATTGCGGAACAATGCGATGAATTAATTTATATTTACTTAAAGGGACATGGTCCACTAGCATGCAATGCGGTCGTGTTTTAGATTTTTATATATGGAAAATGAGGTGACTTCGAATATCCATTTGCAATCCGTTTCCATCCATCGGAATCATAAAGCATCTCCATTCATATAGGATAAAGGAATAATAAAGAGTAAGTTTTTGCTTAATATATTACGATGTATTTCTATTTTCAAACATAAACAAAAGCTCGAAAGGGATGCTGGTGGACCATGTCCCTTTAACAAATACAATTTGAAGTAAAGTACTACAACTAATGGTTTTTAGCCAATCATAACCAATTCAATGTAAAATAACTTTACCTGTGCATCTTTCTTGAGGTATGCATTAGGAGTAATGTTCACTATAGATTTTTCAGGATCTTCAGTTATCATGACAAACTCTGGACCAAAAAATGTCTAAACAGAATAACAAAATAACAGAATAACAATATAATAATTGTGAAGTGTTTCCTGAGATAAGTATTATTTTGCTATCAAAATTCATTTTCAATTTTTATTTTTATTTTCATTTAATATTTTTATATTTTAAGTACATGTGTAGCTACAGTGTTATTTACCAACAGTCCAAAAATAATTTAATGCAATTTCTCTATATTAATTAAACAGATGGATGCATTTAACTTATTTATTACAAATCAATTTGAATTATTGTCAGTGATACAAGTCTGAACAATCAGATATATCTGTCACTAACCTTTGCAGGACTGACATCTTTCTCATTCGTTGATAGTTCCTTGCCGATATCAGGTAATGACTTGAATTGCTTGACAAGAGGAAGGTGTTTGTTAGGACCAGGTGGTGGACGACCAAGGTCACTGACTGAAACATATTGCTGGTCTCTGAAAAATAATGGTTATAAATTGGTTAATGCATAAGAATTAATAATATTTTCATAGAGAGCAAAAATATAGCTGTTGTAGGTTCCAATTTACTCTAACGAAGTCAGCGAAACACAGGTGAGGCTACAGTGAAGGATTTGTGACAATTTGGAATAAAATCACATACTGTATATTTATCATATACTGATTCATGTATTAAAAAAAGACTGTTTAATAAAATGGTGACCACAATAGAGTGGTCCAATTAGTCCAATTCTGTGCAACTTCTTACAAAATATTTCTTAGATATAACAAATGCACTCTTGTCATAATCATTTCACCCCTCTACTTGGGCTCCCTGTGGACAAAGCTTTTACCTCAAAGAAGTTGGTCCTCTTTCATTCCTAAATCTATTGCGAGACACTGAACTTCCAAGACTATTGAGATTAAATTCACTTTCATATCCATCAGTGATGTAAGACTCAAGGGCATAACTGCCCTGTGTCAGGGATATTGCTGATGATGAACGACCATCAGAAAACATGGAGGACCTTGGACCAGACGCAGTGGAAGAACTGTTACTTGTCATTGAGTTGACACTGCTATAGCGCCTTAAACCATCTCCTAAAATTAAACATAAATAGCGTAATGTGTAGAGGACCATAGACTCCTCTCTCAGACATTATGAGGCTCATTCCAGGTGCTCTCCCCTAATGACCTGGAAGTGAGCTTCATAACGAGAGGAGACTAAGAGGACAACTGCCTGGTTTTAACAAATAATGTGGTTATACAGTCAATCCTGCAAAGAATAGCAATAACAAAGACTTATATAGACATATTTTATTTTCATTGTCAAAACTTCAAAAGGAATAACTCTTTTTACTTATCAACAATATAATATATATGTCCATTATGCCTTAAATTATACATTTTTAGCTGTAAAACTAGTTCCCTTTGATCGCCCCTTAAGTTGAAGCTAAGATGTTGTTTACGTTTACTAATGTGCACATCTGAAACCCTTTCTTTCTTTGAAAGTTGAATTTCATATTGTCTAATTTTCGCATAAATATCATAATAATTGCATCAATTATTGCTTGTCTCTAAACCAATAGAATATCATTATTCAAGATCAATATTTACCTCCATTTCTGCTGCCATTCACTTTCAATCTTGGTTCCAAATCAGCAGGGAGTTTTGGCAATGGATGACTATTATACTCACGTGTTTCAGGGGCTTCTTGGTACTGTGGTATATGTCTAATATCAGCCATCCGTTGATGTTTTGCTGGTGGTTTTGAATCTAATTGATCAAGGCCATTAAGGCTAGCAGTCATTGATCTTTTACTTCTTGATTCATCCAGGTAACTTTTATATTTTTCTGTGAGATAAGCAGACATAGATGAATGTATAACATAGTGAATAAAGAAATTTCTACATATTCTATAATTTATGTAGTGTTTATAATTTATGTGCTATTTTCCTATCATGCATAAAGTAGCCCTTGCAGGCTTATTCAGTCATTCGTTGATACAGCAGGCACAGGTGAAACGTCTGAAATACTCAATTATGCTGTTCTTGAAGAAGTTCATATTATGATATTGCAAATATTTAACACTTTTTATAATAGCCTGATTAGATAGGATCCAGTCTTGAAAAAGAGTAGGAACTAAGTTAATAATTGGCTATGAAACAATTTGCTCAATTGTCTGTGTTCTTACCTTGATGTACTGAGCTGTGACAATTGATATAAACACAATTCACAGGCATTTGTTTAAAAACAAAACAGTTATCATATATACTAGGGAGCTTTATATACAACATTCTGTCTGTAATAATCAGATTCAAACAGCTGTTGGCTTACCTAAAGAAGGAGGTAAATTTCTACTGTCATTTAATCTAGTAGGAGATGTCGACCCCTGTCTTAAAGAAGGAGTTGATAAACGTCTGTTATTACTTCCTACAAGCTCAGCTGAAGTTGGTTGTCCTCTTGTACTTATTTGTGGTGGGGGAGGGGTGGGGAGATGTCTTGGACTGGCCAGAACAGGTGATATACTTGATGGGTATATCTATAAAAGAACATAATATCATAAGTTAATCAAATATGGATCTGAAGACACAATAAAAGAAACGAAATGAAAAAAAGTTGAATGGATTCAACAGCTCTGCTTGCCATTTTGTACAATATTAATGCATAATGAAAAATATGTAAATGAGGAGAGAAAAAAAATAAATCTTATCAAAAAGTACTATATGCTATCTAAGAAACCATTCTATTCATTGATAGTGTGTGTTTTAATTGTTGGCTGGGGATCTGAGATAATTGTGTAATGCTGTTAGAGACAGGCTGCTGTAAGCAACCTCCCTGTGGGGGTTCATGTTCTCTTCACACATGCTACTTTACTTACTATAAAGTCTCCAATAAATCATTGGTTAAGCTACTCAGAAGTGATAGACAGGGTTCCAAACAATCTATTTCAAGATGACTGTGGATCACTGGTTTGAATTCTATCAGAGATTCAGGATTTTTTCTGAAACTTAAGTTTCTAACTTATGCTTCCTTTGTTCATAGGAAACTAACTATAGACAATTGCTACTCACTTTTCAGCATGCTGTCACTACATTGATTTCCCTTTCTTGTATCAATTATTAATTATTCATGAATTTGAGAATTAATATTTTACACACACTCAGATCACAATGTTTTTAGTTATAGTTATGATAGCTGAAGTAACCTCACCTCTCCATCAACATTGCTGTAACCATTGGTATCATTTTGAAAAGCTTCATTATCAAACCCTGTGTCTTCTAACTCAATCTAAAAACAACCAAAATAGAGTTTAAAGAAAACATTATTATTTTAACCAGGTTTATGATGGACATTGTGACTATTGAGCATACATTATAGAAGATAGATGAAGAAGTTCTGCTATTCACTGACATTGCTGTAATATATGAATTAATGTTTGCCCTCAGAGTTGTTTTCCTGCTCTGCTAATGGGATTGTAAACTGACAGCAATTTCAAATGCCTTTTTTATCATTTAAATTTTGTGATTGTCAATTTGTTATGTGAATAAATACTGAAACTATATTCAAGACATTATATTTATCCATAACATATTTCTTATATTCACTTGTTGGGCATTTGAAAGAATTATTTCACGTTATGATTTATTGGATTCATACATGTAGAACAGGAAAAAGCCTGAAGGCACTCTCAAGAATTCAATATCTTAAAGCTGTTTTGGAAATCATACAATCATAGACTATAAAAGGAATACATCAATGAAGGATTCAATGATCATACAGCTGCAATGGTTTATTAATAGATCACTTTACACCATCATACTCCTCAAACCCCAATAACATCTTATAAATTATATAATTATTGTTATTTAGAATTTGTGAGCATAAACAACAAAATATTTTAAGGTTTGTATATCTGATCACCAGTCTGCTAGATAACAGGTACAATAATACATACATCTGGGATTTCATCCCCTAACAAGGATTCCACCAGAGAAGCAACAACATCACTATACTTCTTTTTCATATAGCGGCTTTGACATTCCTGTACAAAAACAAATTTTGATATATTCATACATATAATATAAAGAGATTTTATCTCTGAAAGCAACTGTAATATTTAACATCATGGTTATCCATGAATACAAGCAAACTATATTTATTTATCTCAAATATATATAGGTACCACAAAATGAGATTGAAGTATTTTTCAAATATTATGCTTTTAATTGAATACTGGTATATTATCAGCAGTAATTAATGCTAATTTATTGACATAATTATAATACCATGATATTCATTCTTTATATTGTACCCTATACAAAACCCTAAAGAATCACATGCCTGCTCTATTCCATTTTTAGATTTGATTTAGTAAAGTAGTAAACCTCACAGTTAGTACTGATGGAGACCCCATGGGTGTATTTTCATTACACACATGAACTGTCAGTCTAGAAAACTACTTAAAATCTCTCTATTGGTTAACATTTGAAATTATAACATATCTCTATATAACATAAGACAAACATTAAGTGAGGCAGATAAGAGAAATCTGTTTTTAGTAACCTTGCATTGAAAACTTGAACCATATATAATATGTTGAGAAAGACTGCGACAATAACATTTTAGATTAGCATCAAAGCTCAGGTTGTTTTTTTAATCATCTGCTCAGAGTTAAAGATATGACTGGTCAAAATTAAATTTTGACTGACATTATCAGTTGATCATCTTCTAATAATCTACATCTTGTTCCCTACATTATAGTTTAATGCAAACTATAAACAAGACAAAACTACCGTAACAAGGAAACTATACTTTCATTACAAAATGCATACATGTTGTCATATAATTACAAAATAAATAAACAAATTTGGAAATTGTGGAAGGGAATCCAACATTGTACATACATAATACTACTGACTCAATCGCTACAATTTACAAACGGCATAGAGAATACTGTACTTGACAACACTAAATTGGATAGTAGTTGACTTTTAGCAGGTTTTAAGGTTACACTCTTAGCCCTTAAAATCCAAACTAAACTACAAAACATTTCATAAGAATAATAATCCATACCTGGAGTACTTCTATAAGGCCACTTCTAGCTTGTGCACTATCCTCACACATAGTCAGAAGAATATTTTCCAAGGACTCATGTAGACTAATTGGCTGCAAAACATTAACAATAATATAGCATTAATTAATTATTAATAAAAATGCAGATTAATATGCATGAAAGAGGATGAATATTGAAAAGTTTACTAATTGGTTTTAATACAAAGAAGATGCAAAACTGGGTTTTCTCCAAGGTTTGCTGTCTTGTATTCAAGTAGTACTGGACCCTTGCTACAGCACATCTGAGCATGCACTATTTGTAAAAGAACATTGTCCTTACTGTGAAAAGACTGGGCACTAGTAAATCCCATTATGTGATGGAACATTTATGTGGTACCTTTTATTTTTACTAAGAAAAAACGATCTTTTTCTATGATAGCAGTTTAAAAAATAGCCTGCAAGACTTAAGAAAGTGAATTTTAAACAGTTGAACGTCACCTTGTCAATAAACTCTCAGGTTCTCTAACTTCACTCTTTTTTTCTTTTTTTGCAAAGATACATGTCATATTCTTGTGATTTTGATTAAAGTGCATTGAGTGCATTGTCTACTGCCTTTAAACATTTTTACAGCTATACATGCAATACCAATAAACCCAGAATTGTCTGCAATTTCAAGGATATCCTTTTCACTTACCGTATAGAAAATATAATTGTGAATAGATCTTTCATCTACGCTTAAATACATTTCTGAATATTATTTTTCTAAAACTTCACATCCATTGCTTGAAACAGCTTTCTGATTTTCTTAGATCCGAGAAATTTAAGTTTCTTTGGGTTAGGTCGATTGTCTTCAAAAACATGCCGAAACTAGGAAAATATCTCCTTTTTGCTGCCTCATTAGACCTCAGTAACAAATATGGGAACCCAACAGAGCATATTTTAAGATATTTCAAAGTTCATATAAATTTTAGACCCAAATAAAAATGTGAATTTTTATGAGGCAAACTATCAATTGACCATAGACTTTCTGACTGTATAAACTGTTTTGTAGTTTTCAGATTATTTTGAAAAGTTGTGAGCAACAAACCCTTACTTTTAACAAACATACAACATATACTTGGTTGGATTTAGTTTTCCTGATTGTCGTAATTAAAGCAAACATCAGCGAATGCCATGCAAAGAGTGACAAGTGTTCAAAAATCAATTTGGCCCAAACCTGTACATTTTGTAGTTTTTTCTATCCCAATAATCCATGTACTTAATATGACGTTTTTGATTTTTATCCTTCAAGATATGAATTTTTTAGTCAGAGCAAGATCAAAATGGAAATTTTATTGTTTGTAATACCAGTGACCTCTGGTCGGAAAAGTATTTGACCTCTGGTATTTCTGCTAACACAGCTTTTTCTGCTTAGTACTGAACAAACAAAGCTTTTCAGGGGACTCAAATTGTAGGCAATAAATATTTTCCATTCCAATGTACGGTACCTTTCCTACTGCAACTTCAAATTCGGCTGCATGGTAAAGTGACATTCCCAGTGAGTAAACACAAATCTAAACAAAAATAATAATAGTTATCAACAACTAATCACAAAGCCTAGCAAGGCAAAGTCTTTTATAAAAAAACAATCTGACAGAATATTTACATCATATAATCTTATCGTGCCTAAAATCTCTCAAACATTCTCCTATACGCTCACACAGGTAATATCCTGTCTTTTTAGATTTTCAAAAATAGCTAAACCTGATTTCACGCTCTAAGAGCATCTAGTTTCTCATCAATTAGCAAAACTGTTATTTTTAGTCATGCACTCGCCGTTTGACAATTGACATTTTCTCTGTTTTATCCAACAACCTTTTTTGAAATAGGTATATATACATATTTAAAAGCTTTACAATATACATGTACTTGATCTGCATCTTATTAATAGGTATTTTATGAATTTCATTAAAATGTAAGTACATATCTCAATCAACAACCTTATATGATTTGAAATGTCAACAGTTTTTTTACCTTCTCCAAGGCTGCTTCACTTGGAAATGCTTTTCTTGCATAAGTCTCTGGCGCAGTGAAGGATCGGTCATTGGGACAATCTAGGCATTTTAAAATGTAACGATGAGAAAGTCATATAACATTATATCAAAGAGCAAAGAAGGTTATAAAAACAATTATGAATTACTAATAATTGTTGTTGGGTCTTCTTAAACATAATCAAATATGACCAAACACGCATTTTTCAACCTCTGGGCTACACATCATAATGTCCTTACCTCCATCAAGAGAGAACTTGACTTTACCAGTATGGCACAACAGAATTGTAGCAGGAGTAATAGTGTAGGTTCCAAAGTGTCTTTTTCTTGCTTTACCTTACATGAGTAAATAAATAAAAGGTAATGTCATTGACAATTTTAAAAATGCTCCGTAGCCAATTTTATACATCAATGACATATTTTTATACCACCTATAACATGCACAAGGCTTCTATGAAAATGCTACATATAACTCATCCAAAAACCTATGATAGGTCATGTGCCTTGATCAATGCATTTTGAGTTAGTAACTGTTAATTATCTGCATAACAGACGCTGATTGGCACTGTATGCTGAATGCAGCAAGATAACAGGTAATAATGATATCAAATTGTCAAGTTCCTTGCTATATATAAGCAGAACTGCTAGAGCAAACACAGGAAAACCATGAAATAAAATCAAACTAAATACTAACAAATAGCGGCTATTTAGAGGCAATTTGTCAGTATCAATGAACCAGAACACAATGAAGATGAATCCACATGAGAGCAATTTTCATTCATCTTTATTGCATTCTGGTTCATTGATACTGACAATTTGTCTTTTTGTTAGTATTTAGTTTGATTTTATTTCATGGTTTTCCTGCGTTTGCTCTACTTTCCAATAACAATTATTGTGCAGAGTGAGTACCTGATACAAAGACACCATACAAGGCCTGACAGGACTGCGCCAGTATAGACCATAATTCATCTTCGTTAAGTGGTCCACCTCTCACCTCAAGCACTTCCTCTAATGTCACAGTGTTTGCTATGAGTGCTGGCATGGTTACTGACCTGAAATAATTTTTACACCATCTATCACATACAGACTTTATGGTTATGATGGGTACTGTTATCATCATCATAAAGACAGCTCATTTTATTAATCATTAATACATAATTATTAAAAAGAGACTGGGCTCTATGGGTTACTAAAGAATATTCAATTGTCATGAGCTGAAATGTGTGCTTACTGTAGTGAAAAGATTTGATGTACAGTTGTATTTCAACAGTTTAACAGGACAGAGAACTGCACATATGAGAAACAATTCAGTTTCATTTTCCTTAATGTATTGCTTGCAATTCTCAGCACGTCCAGCATAAATGCTTATCAATCATTATCACTGGTGCAGAACAGCATGTATAATAATATCAAAGATTATTTCATTAATAATTCATAAGGTAAACACAATGGAAAATCATTGCCGTGACCGCATCTTTATATGAGCAAGAGATTTGTCCTGATTTTCATGCGACTTTAACTTCGATTTTCTCTTACAAATGATATTTTATCCTGATTTTTTTTTTTCAAAATATGCTTCACCTTATGTTGGAATTTGATAAGCAATATATAAAATATTCGCATCCGACCTTTAGGGCTTATAAAACTGCCCACTTGCAGCTCGCAGGTTTAAATGCCCATAAAGGTCTCCCGCTCATATTTTATATATTACGTACATGYACATGTATCTAACAAAGTGTGAAAAAATGATCACGTATAATTATCCACGATTGTTCTCTGGTACGGGAACTCTAATTTTTTGTGCGTCTGTTTTCTAATAGATGCGATTAAGATGTCAAAATGTGATGAGAACAACTTTCACACAACTAGACTTCATCTCAAGGCATACTCTTTTGTTCTCATCACATTGAGATCATCTGTGTATCTATTAAGAGAAAAATGGGAATCTATTTGCTAAATATACACAATACTGCTAAAGGGTGCCTCCAACAGAGTTTCTACTCCAAGTGCAAAGAGATCGCTTTGATAGCAATACTTAGCTTCAAGCGTATTGTCTTAAAAATGTTTAATAGTTTTTAAAAAGTGATTTTCTGCTGTGTATGACTTAAATGTTAATGAAAGTGTTTACTTTCCTTAATACTATTTTTCATAATGCCATCACTTCTTGATGATCAGATGTTGATAACATTTCAATGCATTATCATTACTGAAGTAAGACACTTGAAGCTTTAAAGATTTGCATTTAATTTAAAGTAATACCACTGACAATAAAATAACAAAAAAAAAAAATTATGAGAAAATCTACCCTACCTACAATCTCTTCCACTCTTGTGAATTGTTGAATAATTCCTTGAGGAATAATAATTGCCATAATTTCCTTTGTTCTTTGTCTAAATTGCAATGTAAGCCATGTCACCATGCTGTGAAGTAGACAAATCACTGAATGAAAGGAAATAGAGGAATAAATAAAGAAATGGAAGATTAATTTCTTTGCATTATTTTTTTTTATTTAGTAGGAAAACAAATAAGAATGAAAACATTTTAATCTTTCTTGTTTTTGAGAATTTTCAATTACCTAATTGAATACATATTATCTATGTATTGTTTGCAATAAACAAATACATTATATTAAGCAAAAAACAACCAAAATTATGAAAGAAAATATACAAATTTTCAGGCTTCCGTAATATTAAAAAAAATGGCAAAATACATTTAAATACTAGTCAAAATATCAATCTTGTTTTACCAAAAAATTTACTGTTACATAATAATAACAATTTTATCCAACAGTAAAATACATGTATACTCATTTGAACACTCCTAAATAATTGAAACATAACCACAAATAATAACAAAAACGTCCCTGTTAGCAGACTTACAGTACTGGAGGCATAAGGCAGCATAGTTCAGATGATAATAGAATATGTTATCATAGTGCAGGTGGTAATATTCAGCATGTAATGTATGTGTCACGTTCAGGAAACAAGACACTGTCAGATTACCAGTAAAATCTATTATATTCATTTTTACAAGAATGCAAAGGTTATAGGGAATAATCCAGTGCTATATTGCAAAACTATATTGGAATTGGTTGCTTATTTTTACATTTGTCTTTTTGGTTGCCTACATGCTGGTGTGTTAAACAAATGACAAGCTTCATTTCATGTTGTAAAATCATACATTTACAGTAGATATTTTAATGTTACATGATAGAGGATTGCCTTTTTTAATGGCAATTGGGGGTAAATAAATTATATATTATTGAAAAACAACAAAACCTTCAAAGATTTACTCTAAAGATCTATCTTTTTTTCTTTTTATACTTGACCCTATGCTAACTATATGCAACCAATCTGGACATGTGAAAACTTTTCTCATGTATATGTATAGTTTTCCTTTCTTTTAAATATTAATCAATACTGTATAATCCTTGTATATTATAATACTTCTATATAGAAACTTTGATTTTCAACAGAAGCAAATACGACAACACAATAAAACAATTATTCCACTCAACCTTGTACTGTATTGCTCAATTTTGCTAATATTTGTTACTAACATTATTGAGATAATGCTACATGAACTTTGAATGAGTATCCCAGATTCATCTATAACCTCATTGTCACAGCACATGGAACTGTTCTACAGCCTACCTTTTAACATCTTGATACAAATGGACACCAATGTAACTTTGTCTATTAGAATTCTCAGTATCCAAAACGTAAAAAAGTAATAACGGCAAAGGGAATGACATCATTAATTGACTAATATCACTTCCACTTTCAAATATTGAGTTCAATCACAACTACAGTATTTGAGTGGGTAGTTATGCCCCAAGCAATAATAATCATTGTTACTCAGGAAGCTTTACAGTTACTCTTTTTGACTAAATTCTGTACTGTATAAAGAAACTAAAAACAATGTCATTGCCACAATATATAAATCTACCTTTTCAAGTTCAATATTTAAAATACAACTTTATAATTATACAATGTACAAGTCACAATAAAAAATAACAATATACAGTGTGAATCTATCATAAAAAACTAAGCTACATCTTTTGATAAAAGTGGTTTTGAAGTTTGGCAATTACATCTGGAGGTACATTTTAAATCTAGTGATTAAACAAACTGCATATATTCAAATTTATGACACTAACCTGGACAGAAAATATCAACATCACACTTAACTATTTTGATCAAATACTGTACATCCTATAGTAATATTTCTTGTATTATAACATGTACATACATAGTTATGAATCATTTCAATCTTCAATCTATAATTATTGAACAGCAGTAGCCCAGTGAAATTGGAAATATACAGTTACTATAGCAACGCAGATCTTGTGGAGGAATCCAAGAAATCCAAAATTCCTTTAAAAATACTGAGCAAACAAAAAGATGGCAATATAAAGATATTGAAAGGAAAAGTTGTTTAAAATTATCCCCCTTAATACTGGTTTTCTTTTTGGTTCCGGAACTCTAAAAGATCAATCTTACAGTATCAATCAAAGAGCAAACCAATCAAAAATTGTTTATAAAATGATGCTGATAAAACTCAAAGAAAAGATTCATTCCAAAAACAAAATAATTTTTATCAATTGAAACTGAACTTTTGGCCAACACTTGTCCATTGTCTACATTGATATGAAAATTGAATCAAGTAACATCAGAAGAACATTATAGTTACAAGTCATACCAAACTGATAAACAATACAAATTAAGGACCTGATCTATGAAGTAGCCTGGCCTAGTCATGGAAAAGATACAATATGTTCAATTTGCTGTATCCTCAAGAACCACATCAACCCTAATATCTAATACAATCCAATCTCACTGAATTGGTTTCCATTGTTATTTGTGGTGCTGCATATCTCATATTTCCCTAAAATTACAAATTCAAGAGCTACATGTATATCTAGATAAACCTGGACTTTATACAGAAATATATAGCCATGGTATTTACCCTCCAGCAATACTTAGGAAATTAGACTTAGAAATTTGTTCTGAGCACACTGAAATCAATTACTGAGGAATATACAGTAAGTAAAGAAGTGCTGAAAAATCTATTGATAAATCATCCTGTTCGACTCAAACCCTGGACTTTCTAAACACAATTACATTTCTTTAACCACTATGCTACTGTGCAAGTATCAAAAAATTGATGAGACTCAGATAAGCGGTAGACATCATCATTAACTTCAAACTATTGCATAACGTTTTGGAATACAGTAGTTAAAAAAAATTCATCTGTTCTATTTCGAGTAATATTGACAAATATTTCATGTGATTTTTGCATGTCTCTTTAATTTTCCCTTTTCTCTACATGTGGCTTTTGAATAAAAGGGCTTATGAGCTATAGTCAAAAGCTGGAAGGAATCACGATTTCTACATACACCAAAAAATGTTGTCGTCGCCAGGACACAGTCAACAGTCTTGAGTCTGCAAAGAGTTTTGGGATTGCCTTATATAATTATATATTCAATTTCAGTTATTCAAAATACTCTGATTTAGGGTTCTGGTTAAGCAACATATTCTTTTATTTCATTGATAGCCTGAGAAAACGTATGGAATTTGAAAAGAGAGACAGTAGAATTGATATGAAATATCACACTTTTATTCTCACAATTAGGAATATTTTACGCACAAATGAGGCTAAAACAGAGCATTGGAGAATTCGAAACTGGATTATTCTCGGTCTTGTAGCGAATATAGCTTTGAGGCTAATTGACAGTTTGAAAACATGGAATATTTTTCAAGGAAAATGTCTCATGGCGGAACTTGTTCGATGGATTAATGCCCACAATAGTATATTATAAAATTTTTGATATATAACGCGCGCTCTGATTGGCTGACAACCGTGTTTATATCAGAGGACAGAGACACAACTTACCAGCAAAATGTTCTTTTCGCTCGAAAAATTTTATAAAAGAAATATAAAACGGCCGCTTGTGTCTCTGTCCTCTGATCTAAACACGGTGGGTGTTGAAAAACACTCGAGAAGCAAGAGAAACACTCGCTACGCTCGTGTTCCTAAGCTTGCTTCTTCTATTTTTCGAACTCCCACCGTGTTTATATCAGAGGACAGAGACACGCGCGCCCTTTTATATTTCTTAATTAGTAGTGTTTGCCATTGAATTCAAACCAAAATATATTTTGAATATACTAATTACACATGGAAACAACGAGATTCTTTGTAGGGTCAAGACTGTGGACTGTGTCTTGGTGATGACAACGTTTTTACCTCCTTACCATCCAACAAGTCACCTGATATTTCCAAATCATTCTTTTTTTTTCAATATTTGCTGTAATAGCCATATAAATTCAAATGTCGGGGGTTCAGGTTTAATAATAATCAAGGAATCCTTTGGTTGTTTAAAAAGCTGTGTTTTGTTGTGTTTTACATGATTCCAGGGACTATTAACCAGCAGACTACTTATTCAAGTAAACATGATAATTGTCAAAATTTGCAATAAAATCTCACAGCGAGTATCATATTTCTGGTTTTGAAGTTGGTAAAATAACCACATTTTTATGATCAACTTGCAAAGTGATTTTTAACATATCCCTATTAAGTTCATTAATAAAAATGTAGTTTGCATGTGAAATCTTAAAGAATAGCTTATTACGGAAAATAACAGAAATCAAAAACGCTATGAAATCATGTTTTTGATTTTCGACTATACAACAAAGACGGGACAATTATAAAGCTAAAGACGTTTGACCAAAGCCGGCTAATTTTCATGCACAGCAAGCTGATAACACAATCAATATAATGTTTTTAAAACATCAAAACAAATGACATTTTATAATAAACAACAGTAGAGGAATATTGGCAATTATTATCAATTTTCATTAGATTACAGTAAGGAAAATAATATCGACCATATAAGGTTGACTTAGCTTAAAAAATCCGAAATTTTATAAGTTATTTGATGGTGAGATACAAGCTAAAGTTAAAGCAAATCGGATAGCGTCGTCAGTTATAGCCAATATTAATTAAAGGTCCAATAACCCAGTGGTCATGTCTAGTAAGGACCAATTAAAAAATATTGCTGGTGAGCATTTGCTGCACAATTTCTCTTGGAAGAGCAAAGCTGGTCCAAGTATTAAGCTAGTACAGTGTAAATTTACCAAAACGTTGATCCAGAACTTGTCATGTTCGGTTAGGGCAGATTGCAATCACTTTAAACAATAGCGTTTTAAACAAGCGTTTTTTTGCACATGTGAGGCTAAATGATATGATGATTAACGATATTTTTGGACAGATAAAAAGTGGAACAATGCTGTTTACAGCACAAAAACAATCTCGTAACGATATTGATGCTTACCTCACATAAGCGTCCTTATGCACAAATACACTCCTGAAATACCACGAAAAATACCTCTTACTAAATTCTATGATACCCTTTAAAAAAATTGTGTGATATTTGACTTCCAATGATTGTTTAAAAGTGATATTGGACAGCTTGTTTAAGTTTTTTCAACCAAAACATTCTCTCTCCAATCGCCATGAATGAGTAGTTTGGAAACAACTTCAAACGCGGGCATAACGACAATGATGATTGGCTGATCTGATCATGTGACCATAACGAAGATTCCAAATTTGTTACTCATAAATGCTAAGACATACCATTTCATTTTAATCACGAGTTCCCATGATTTTCTATATTATGAATTGTTCCTTTTCCTCATATTTTTCTTTTTTACCTTTTTCCCGTGTCTGCAATCTATCATACTTTTTGTCGATTGATTTTTATATCTATATCTATATTTTATCTCAACAATTTTTTTTTACTCCAGATAGCATATCTAGGGTTTTTATTCTTTAATTGTAACCCAGAGAACCCAGCATTGAAAAACTACTCATATTAAAACGTCTGAAACTCACATTATTTTGTTTCCTGATGACGTAATGGGACTGGTATCTAGCGCGGTTCCAACTTCATTTGCATACCAAAGCTCACTTCTGTTTGAAAACCTCAATTTGTTGCAATGTTTATCTAAAGTTTCGCGAAAAGTTATCCATAATCATGGCTCGGGATCATTCAGAAGTTAGCCTGTGTGTAAAGTACTTGTTATTCTTCTTCAATGTGTTCTTTTGGGTAAGTAAATAATAATTACAAGCGATAAATGTTATCGAGATTTTTGTGAAATTGAACCGATGTGTGTCGTGACTTAACTTTTAAGCTAATCGATTTCTTTATTGATTTTTATTGAAAGTTTATCAAAATATTGTGCACGCTCAAATAACTTAGTTTAGAATGGATATAAAATGGTTATAGTATAGGCCACTGGGTGTTGAAATACGTCGAAGGTTGCTTCCGAATCAATGACGTTTGTCAATTCTTAAAGCAAAGTTCTGTTTGAAGTATTGCTTCGTTCTCTCCAAACAGTGCGGAATTTTCCAGTCATCTTCGTTTTGTTTCCTAATCATTTAATCGATGAAAGCATTAATGCACATCGTCTCTTTTTGAAGGAGAGTAAAAATCATGTAAGATTTTTTTTTAATAACAACAATTTTATCCTCTTGACCACCTAAGTTTTAAGTTTGAATTCCAGATGTGTCAAGAGCGGGAAATAAAGGCTTGTTATACCGAAATTTGTGTAAAAATATGAACATTCAGTGTATGAATACATTTAGATACCACTTCCTAACGATAAAATAACGACAAACAGTCAATCAAAATCCCACAGCAGGATCAAGATAATAAAATGAAGCTAGTGTAAATATTAGGTATGTTATCCAACAATCGCACTTCAGAATTTCTATCATTTCTCCTGGAACTGGTTGAAAGAATGGTATATAAAGTTAACCACCAAATAAAGTTATCCAAGATTTCTAATGAATAATGCTACTTTGCAATTCTTTTTATAAGTCTTTTATTCTGAGATGGCATCCGGTAATAAACAAATATCACACCTCTAGAATTAATTCTAGAATAATTGATTTAGTGAAATAAGTTTGTCACAGCAATGATGACAGAAATGCCAACTTTCAAAGAGATGGAACTTAAATTGACAGATACATGTTTAAAATTTTCAAAACGTTTCTATTTTTGCAAAGAAATGTATTGAGCATACACTAAATTAATATAACCAAAACTAAAAATTGTCCAAGAAAAAGAACTTTTTGAAACTTTTGCTATTTTAATTTAGGAACTAATTAAAATGCAAAAGAAAGAGTTCAGCTTCAGTCATCATCTTTTGTGTATAAAAATGTATTCTCTAAATCTCTGCAGGACAACATTGTTGTAATAAGGTTTATGTCAAAGATTTATGTGGGTGAGCAGTTATGATGAACATTCTGGTAGTGTAAATATTGGCAATCTACTTGGCAATATCTCCTTCCAATATACAAACTAAGTAAACTATTAGGACATCATCCCTGGTGGAATATGTAGACAGGCTCCGTTTTTTTCCATTTAAATTGTCACCGACTGATAATGATAATTAAATAATTAAAATTATTCATGTTAATTTACCCATGATTCTTTTTGGTCTCGGCATTTAGGGATAAACCCAATCAAGAACAATGTTTAGTTAAATGACTGTATTCAATTGCGCCAACAACACCCCTTACAGCTAGTTTTTGGCAGAGGGAGGAAACAGTGTACCTGGAGAAAGACTCTCAAAGCACAGGAGAGAAACAGCTTACAAACTGAAAAACATAGTGCCACTGTCAAATATAAGAGGAAATGCAACAATGGAACTATGTGTTTTGAGCTTTTAAGCTGTTTATCTCCTTTGCTTTTAGGATTTTTCTCAAGATACACTGGTTTTCCTCCCTGGAAAATTTTGAAGATTTTGAAGATTTTCCAGTATGCTAATGGGTCCAATATTTTCCCACTCACACACAAGCTACGGTCTCTTAGGTTTGATTTCCACTTGTGTTTTAGGCTTCTTGTTCTGAGATTAATACTTTTTTTTGTAGCTGATAGGTGGCCTTATGATTGCCATTGGTCTGTATGCCAGACTAGAGAAAACTGCATATCAAGAGTTCTTCAATGATGTCCTTACAGACCCTGCCTTTGCACTTATCATTGTTGGATGTGTCATGTTTGTGTTAGGTTTCAGTGGATGCATTGGAGCACTACGTGAAAACGTTTGTCTTCTCAAATTTGTGAGTAGTTAAAACAATACTTTTTAATCAACATCATTGTAAAATTATATAATGATATAAATGTATACCTGAACAAGTTATACTACAGTATGATTTTGTTGCAGTTGCACTGATCTATAGAGCATGTCACCATTTTGATTAGATTTAAAGGGGATCAGAAAAGGAAATCTTCCAGTCACTATCTCAAACCATTTGACTGTTGACCCCCCCCCCCCCCCCCCAAAAAAAAAATCAATCAATGTGGGGATTGTGGTTCCTATTATTTTTTGTGGATTCACAGCAAACAGTACATGTATGTAGATGTCGTTCTAGCAGAATTGTAGTCTTGAGAAAAATTCAACATACAAAACATCCAAAAAATGTACAATGTTACAATGGCTGATATGCAGTGAGAACCATAACCAAGTAGCAAAGTACATGTAGACTGTTAGATGCAATACTTACTATTTTACCAAGGATGCAATACTTACTTTTCTACCAAGGATGCTTAGTTGTTAACATTGCATCTTTGCAACAAAAATCTTTGACTAAATAGTGATAGAGAGAATTATGATATGTTATCTTGAACTGTGTTACTTTGTGCAAAAACAGCTGTTTCTTACCCATATTTATGTCCTGTCTAGTTTTCAGTGTTTCTTGCCATTATTTTCTTCCTTCAACTTGGTCTGGGAGTTGCAGCATTTGTGTTTCAAGACAAGGTAATGAAAGCATGATATACAAACAATGATCATTGCTGGAAACCTTAGATTTTTATGTCAAAATTTTGGGTTAAAACTGAACTAAGAATTTGTAAGAAAAAGTCAATGTCGTGTAGGCTTTGTGATTTATCTCAGTTATAGAATGAAATTTGCATTAAAAGATATACAGTAATAACCAACAAGAACTTGAAATTTTCTATTTAGCCCAATAAAATAGGTTTATAATATACTTTCATAAGTTCTTAATCTTCAGGTTCTTATAGGCAGGTTATTACTGTATGGTGTACTATTGAGAGTATGTAATCCATTGACCCTAACACTGACAAAGTCTACAACAATAGATACAGTATAAATTCAGCTTTTCTTACAATTCTTTAGGTCAGTTTAAACCCAAGTGTTTTAACTGTTATGTCCTTAACTGATTGTGTACAAATATCTTCATTCCATTGAATATCACTATAATTGTTTTTTGTCTAATATAAAGACAAACAGGTCTATCTTTGCTTTAACAATTAATTGCTTATTTTTACAGGTGGAGGAAGTTATTGTTGATAAACTACAGTCTGCTATCAAGAAATACAGAGACAATCTTGACCTACAGAATCTGATTGATGGAGTACAGCAGGAGGTGATTGCCTTTACTAAATAATATACATATGACCTACCTTACCAACTGTACTGTTTCTTGGGTTGCAAACATCAAATGATCTTAATCTTTGTCTTACAAAAAGCAATGATTTTTTATTGTTTTACGAGGCATAGAAAATCATACGCAATTTTCAGTGTTATATTTACAATAGCTCAAATAGGAAAGAATTGTGATCTTAAAGAGCATTTCCAGACAGAAAATAAAATACAATGCAGATTGGCAGGCAGTTGCTGTGACAAAAATCAAGTATCTAGAGTACACTCGCTGACATCCTAGCAACACATTGTCTCTGTGTGAACTGCAGTATATAAATGTTTAATTATAATGATCATCACACTGAAATTATAATAATCTAAACAATTATTAATAAATAGATCACCTGCAAAATTTTTGGGCTTCAACAGAAATGAAACCTATGACCTCTGTGATGCCAATGCTGTGCTCTACCAACTGAGCTTCATGTATGAAGCCGAATACCATTGATCTCACCCCCAAGTGATCTTGCCCCATGATTTCGCCTCACTATCAAATATTCATCTCACACATATAACTTTGTAAAACTATATTGGGAAGATCATAGGTTTCGATTTCCGTTTAAGTCCAAAATTTTGGGGGCCATCCATTTTTTAATAATTTCTTAGATGGTAAGTTCACTGCAACAATCATTATTCCTTACCGGTACACATTTATTCACATTCAGTTCATACCATCATTCTAGTAAGTATGGATGGGTTCACCCAATTAAATGACTGCTTGCCTACTCAGAATCCAGGTCATATATTTTTTTTTACATTTTTATAATTTCACTGCAACAATCATTATTCGTACACGTTCCTATTTACTTGCCTTTTAATATTTGCTTTTTCATTGAATATACAACTTTTGTTTTAATGTTGTGACCGTTTGATGGATTCTTCTCAGGGATATGCAGTATTCAATAAATCCAACCAACCCCACCCCACTTCCCCTGTGGAATTTCAATTTATTTGGAGTATTAGCTGTGATAAGTCTTTTGATATCTGCCATTTAGTGACAGTATTTGTTTGAGCACAGTATTTTTTAGATAGTAAGTAGTGAGACAGTGGAAACAATACATCAAGCTTTCCCTTTAGATGTCGTCAAAGGATAAGAACCAATATTAAACAACTTTTATCAATCCACTGAATTCTCCTTAGGATCATAAACATTTAGATGTCCAATAGTATCATATGATTCATTCATAATTGCATTTCACAGTTCAAGTGTTGTGGAGGTAAAACTATAAATGACTGGGATCAAAATGAATACTTCAATTGTTCATCACCTGGGAATGAAGCTTGTGGTGTACCATTTTCCTGCTGTAAATCAGTAAGTCACAGTTAGTGATAAGTATAGATTGCTATTGGGCCAGAGGGATATATACATTCCATGAAGTACATGTATGTAAAGACGTAATATTTAAGTCAACATTTATTTCAAATTTAATATTAGTCAAATTACTGTAAGTAATTCTTGTTATTTGATTTTCAGGACACCTTAAACAGACAGTGTGGTTATCACATCAGAAAAAAAGACAAAGTAAGTTTCATTAAAAACCTAGTGATAACACGTGGAAGCATGTTAAACCTGAGGTCAAATGTAGAATCTTTTATGAATTATTGCTATTATCATTTCATTTCTATTGGATTTTGTACAGTATGTGAGATTCAGAGCATTGACCTTAAGGAGAGTTTTAGGTAGTGGGTTCAGGTGTAAAGTGTCTAGATATTCTCAAAATAACCTCAGTCTCAAAAAAAACAATTGTCACCAGACTACTACTGAAAGAGCTGAAATGATCTTTACCCGAGGATGTGTTGAAGCAGTGAAAGATTGGTTTAAAGAAAACATGATCATCATTGGTGGTGTAGCTGTTGGCATTGCGCTATTACAGGTACAGTTTATTATCTTGAATTACTACCAAGAATGGAGTCTTAGCCATGTGCATCCTGAGGGCACAAGGAATGCATATGATCCAAGAAGAAGTAGTGAAGATTTTATCAAATGCATCAAAAGTGTGTTTTGTTTTGTTTTGTTTGTTTTGTTTGTTTGATTTTGTTTTCTTTTCTTTTCTTTTCTTTTCTTTTCTTTTCTTTTCTTTTCTTTTCTTTTCTTTTGTTTTCTTTTGTTTTTGTAATTGTTTTGTTTTGTTTTTGTACTCTTTGTTCTGTTCTCTTCTGTTCTGTTTGTTTTTGATTTGTTTTGTTTTGTTTTTCACTCTGTAGTAATCTTGTGTGTTTTTTGTTTCAGATCATGGGTATATGTTTTGCAAACAGTCTAATGTCAGACATCAAAATGCAGAAGAACAGATGGAATAGAGATTATCCCCATTAGCATTGCTTTTTTTATATTTTGCAATTTTTTTAATGCCATCTTTCTTGAAGATAGATTGTGACCTTATCCACAATATGCACACTGTACACCATGTATCTCAGCTTGTTTTAACCTCTTGATCTGTCAAGATGTATTTGGAAATAATTATAAGTCAACATTTCAATATTCAAAAGCAATGTGGTATGTATACATGTGGATGTTTTTTTTTTTGTAACTTTTAAAAGCCTTTAAAAAAGGTTTTTGGGTAGGGAAACACTTGTATAAAATTATAGTTTTGATGAAACTAAAGAATCCCAACCAACCACAATACAGTCAGCATTAATGTTATTGTTTACATACGTTGAAATCCGTCAAACATACAATAGATTATAAATTGATTGTATCTGTGAGGTATTTAGTTTAAGGTATTTCTGTCCAAAGTGAAAGGATGGAAGACGATTTGCACTCACTTTAAGAAATCCTACTAATCCACCATTTTCATGCCAACCTTATAAGGCACTTTGCCTGGCAAGGTACGGCGGTTGGTTGTGATTTTTTAAGTAATTCTTAGCAATATTCAATTGACAGTTCCAAGTGCCATCTTTAAAGGCAACGAAGTCTTTGCATCAAGGTGAAACAGGAGTTGAGCCTGCAGTGATAAATACATTTTGTTCACATCTAAGACAATTACCCACGATAGGTACATGTATCTATCATTTCAAGCTCAACTTCTATCTCGCTACCTTTCAAGATGGTGCTTGGAACTGCAAAGTGGAGTATTAAAAGACCACAAGGTTGAGTGGACTACGAGTTGATAGTCCCTGAGGCCGTAGTTGTGATAGTGAAATTGAATATCCTCAAAACTAATTGGCAAATTTGAATATTTTCATTTCATTTAAGGGGAATAGACTATAGTTGAGTAGCCAATCAGAATGCTGGATTCATTATATAGCCCATAGTTTGGCGGATACTAAAATACAACAGAGCAGATTTTGTATGACTGTGCAAAAACACACTTTCATGAAATGACCTTACCATGCTGTAATGGTTATGTATTCTTGAATCGGTATAAATTTCCATTTGCTGTCACCATACTGTGTCATGTCTGTGTCAGTATCCATACCTTTGCCCAGTCATACAAATCTGCTCCACTCTCATCTGACCTGTGTGCATTGCTTTCAGCACATTGTTTTTTGTTCATGCATACACATATCTCCTGCTGATATTGTACGTAGAGTATATGGACTGCATACACTGGTATACAGCTATTTCAGAAATTGTTGAATACTGAATATTGCATCCCAATAACACAATGCATTGTTACCATTAATCTCGACCTTTCTGTGTGTACTAAAATCTATTTGTATTTTTGGGTATTGAATATTTCTGCTCCCTTGTTTTAAGATTTTTTTTCTATTGAAATATGTAATCTGTGCTTTAGTCTCCACAGTAGAGGTGATTTTGTATGACTGGGAAACGGTAATGACAAATTGTGTCTGTACCATAACCGTATTGTAACCGTCTCATACTTATCTATTGTGATTTGTTGACAATTTCAATGTTCAATTTAGCTGTGTTACAGTGTTTCCTTTGAAGCAATTAAGACTTGTTTTATGGATGTAGAATGACCAACTATCCATTTTGTTCCTGGAACAAGTTGTTCTATGTACTCAGACAGATAATAATAGTTCATAAAACAATGCAATATCTAAAATGCCTTTTATATATTTTACTCAGGATTGCTATGTAAATACTGTTGTGTGAATTTCAAGCCCATGAAATCTTATAGTCTCTAATTTCTTTATTGGTAATTTCGTTTTTATCTGATGATTGCATTTTGTTTAGGGATCTTGTTAAAAGGTTTATTTTTTCTTCAAAAGTTGATATGACGTTGTCGTTGTAACTGCATAGATATGATAACTTTTGCACACAGTCATACAAAATGACAAAGACTTCACTGCTATAGTTTTGTTCTGTTAGTCTATCTTTTTTTAATGCTTACAGTTTTGTAGTACTTTTGTTTAACACACACGGGAGTTTAACTGTTATCAAATCATTCACTTGAAGTTTTATACAAACAATTATTATGAAGTATCAATAAAAAACATTATACATTTTGTAATGTTAACTTGTCTTTCTTAGAAATGTTTTTGTTAGTGAAGCAGTAGAACAGTTCTTTTGGATGGATGTCTAGTAGCTGCATTAAAATCAGCCTGGTATTTTTACATTGGCCATCAACATTTTCCATACCGCCATTGTATTTAGAGTGAGGGGAGGGGGGATTTTGTCAACTGAAATTGTTATTTTGTCTAAGTTGTGAGCTAGAAAAAGAAAACTATCAGACCAATATAAGTTTGATTACCTGTGATGATCACAGGGGATGCATGATTGGAAATTAACAATCTTTGCCATCCCACTTTTGAAAACTTCTCTCCCGTCCCTGAAAAATACCCCTAAAATATACCAGAGTCCGGTGTGCGTGACAACATAACTCTGCAAAATTCAATGTTGTGCATGGTACGTATTTGCATGTTGCAGACCACTAAAGTCTAAATAACAAAAGACAAAATAGCAATTAAAGAAATTATTATTTCTTTTTTTGTTAAAGTATTTTTACAAAATTCGAAATTGTAATTGTTTTAGTTATATGACATTAGGAAAGATTTCTGTTAGCAGCATAGCGCGCCTGAAGCGCGTGAAGCAAGGAAGCAATCCTAATTCATAAAATATGGAGACAGAGACATGTTTTCCGTATACTAACATACGGAAAGGTCAGAGCTGATCTTGATGCTATCCACCCACAATGCACCGATTTTCATGCCAAAACAATGGATTTCTATGTTTTCGCCGTCAAAAAATATCGTTCTCTTGTTATTGATGGATAAAGCGAGAATGCTAAAATTCGCCTCCTGCTCGAGATTTTTTACGCCTTTTTGGTGTTCTCCCCCCGGTTCTCACAAACATCCCGCGTTGTTTATTTCACCAGGGGTAGAACGAACGAAAATGTGTTGTTGACTGAAGTAGATAAGTCAAGGTGTAACAAAAGTCGTGATGATGTAAAAAACGAGAGCGGCGAAAGTTTCGCGGTTCATCATCTTTGAATCTTTGACTCAATTTGATTGCGTTAGTAAAATACAAATCAGGATATAATCAAATTACCTAACGCTCTCCCAAAAATCGAATAGACCCGCCCAGAAATATGTTGTAAATGTTCATTGTTCATTCACCAATCAAAAGCGATATTAGCCGTCATCCAAACTTCAACGTTTAAAGAATAGGGAGAATTAGGAAGTTGTCCTTGAGTAGCATTAGTTAAAATATTGTAGTTTGGGGTTTGTTTTCAAAAAAACATCATCGTAAAGTTTTGTTTGCTTTTATTGAGGATGAATTGTTTGGTTCTGAAGTCCGCAGTGCAGTGTAAGGGTAGGTGCTGGTTCAGGTCTGTTGTATCATATTTTCGAGAACTGATGATACCGGCGTCCGGCGAGCTTGTCAACATTTATTTCACTTTCCACAGTAGTGTACGGCCCTCAACTCTCATTTTAAAGAAGAGATACTTTATCACCAAAAACCTTTTAAAAAGTTCACAAATTCATGTTTTTAATAATGTTTTCTTGTTTGTCAGCTCACTTTACAATTACACATTCCCAAAATATCTAGCCGGTCACGGGTTTTCGATTCGAATGTCTGGGACAGCGAATTCAAGGGAAAAAATATTCTCTTTATCTCCTCTCATCCCTATCTGTGGGACTGGTTTGTGAAAGGCGTTGGTTTTTAAGAATAGCTCTTCTCGCTGCGCTCGTGGGTCCACTTGAGTTTTGAACATCTTATGACGTCAAGAGTGTGTCAATAAGAGGACATACAACTCAAAACCGTACGCAATTTGTTAAACAGTACAGCATATATACATAAAATGAATAAGCAGTTAAAAAATTAACAAGACTCATAAACAAAAAAGAGAGTTGGATTTTCAACCTACTCTTTCAGACAACCAGAACCACTACCCACAAATACAAACCACTACCCACAAATACAAACCACTACCCACAAATACAAACCACTACCCACAAATACAAACCAGTACCCACAAATACAAACCACCACCCACAAACACAAACCACTACCCACAAACGTTTCGAACTGGAGAAGAGTATGAAAATAGTCTACTTATCGAAAATTTCATCTCATCACATGAAAAATCACACTATAATTAGTGTTCTTGTCAAGTTTGAAACTCTTTTGTTGAATACTCACCGAGTAGGAACTTCATTCAAAGTCATTGCTTGGTCTCCCTGTGTTAATAGTAATAACTTATCCTTGAGTGGTTTTCATTATCCCGTCAAATATACTTTTAAGGGACTGTGCAATAATTACCAGCAGGGGCGTAAAACCAGAGTCGGGGGGCAAGATGGCAAGATAGAGGGGCTCAAAGTAAAATTACCTAATTAAAAGAGGGGGGGCCTAAAGTTTCATTCAAAGTTTTCATAATGTTCGATGTCTCCTCAAAATGCTGGAAAATCGCATTTCCAAGAGTTATTTCCTTCAAATTTTGAAATTTTTTTCACGATTTTCTTTGGGAGGACCAGACTCCCTTAATACTCCCGCCTTTGGCGTTCGTTAAGTCCCAGATCCAAAATATATGTCGCGGTCCCATTGACCAAGATATGATTTTTTTTTCAACTATTGATTTTTTAAATTTTGTCACATAAATTGAGGATGTAGTTTTCACATAAATTGAAGATGTAGAAGCTGGAAACATATTGTGATGATTTATTAGACATAACAACAAGTAATATCAATTGTGTAAAAGATAAATTAACACCGTAAAAAAGAAGGTGAGGTAACGTACTGACGTTTCGGACGTTAATCCTTCGTCGGAGTAAAATGTTTTGATGTCCAAAACGTCCGAAACGTCGGTATAAGTTACTTCACCTACTTTTTTACGGTGTTCAAGTGAATTTATCTTTTTTACACAACTGTTTCTTTAGAAAAACCGACGCAGCTCACACTAGTTTACCGCTAGTTCCCATCAAGTAATATCAAAGTCGTTTTTGACCATAAAAACGTTACATAAGCCTTTTTTTGACCTTGAAAACCTTTACCAGGAACAAAATTACTTGAAAGAAGCAAGGGCACCACATTTGCTTGTCAGCTCCTCTCCTGAACGTTTTTGTCTTTACACTTAGATCCAGATGAGTAAACCACCTCTTGCATCTGGGTTCGTCTTTAGTGAATTTTGGGTTGCTATAACAGCTGACTCGACTCGCTTGTGCTTGTTGACGTAATATTTCTAATATAGCAGGGGGGGGGGAAGAGCTATTTTCTTGTGCTTCGGAGGAGGAGGGGGGGTTCTAACTAATTTTCTGCTTAAGACATCTGGTTTTACGGCCCCCCCTCCTGGTAATTATTGCACAGTCCCTAAAGTGAACTCATTAAACTTGTGAAACCGAATTTGACTATTTAAGACACAAAGCGTTCTATAACATGCTATAAAGGTGTATTAGTGTAATGTATATTCTTTTTTTCATGGACCGCGGACCAGGCGCGGACCAGGAGCTTGGGGCCTACAGCCCCCCCCCCCCCCCCCCCCAATAATTTTTCCGACATTCTGATTAATAAAGAAGCGAAGAGCCTCCTTATGAAATTCCACCATACATTTTCTATGAAAATTGTGTAAAAACAGCGTGAACAATTAAAATTGAAGCTTTTAATTTTTGTCTTTTATGGATTTTATTGCAACCAACCTCGTTTCCAGGGCCCTTCGCTTGGGATTTCAAATAATATCGCTGTGCGTTAGTCTCCTCGCAGCCGTTCTTAGTGGCGGGCTCCCACTAAGAATGGCTGCGAGGAGACTAGCTGTGCGTGTGAGCGGTAAAAATGTATTGGATAACGCCTCAAAACGCTGTAAATGACATTTCCGAGAGTTAAGATTTCAAAAATTTTCTAGCCCCCCTAGTACCTCATCGCCGCTAGCCCCCCAAAACAAATTCACGCTCCGCGGTCCCTGTTTTTAGCTTCGTTTTTCTTTGTCTTTGTCTTTTTGGTGTATCACAAATTATTAAACTTTGACAATAACACTCACGGGTTATAGTTCCCAATCAACACTATTTAAAAATAGTAATTGGTATTGGTCAGAAATACTCCTGGTATTGGTTGAGAATCGAACCACTTGGAACGTCTGCTACGGAGGCTAACTTTGAAGGTGATTTTGGGTGATTTTGGTTCCCAGATCAGTAGGGCCCCCTCTCCCTTCGTAGATTAACTCTAATCCTCTGTTCCTTCATTGAACGTGGGTTGCCTGTGGCGGATAGGATGACCATGATCCTTTGCGAAGCGTTTGTTGTAGACAACCACGCGGCCATTTCTCATAGAAGTATTGGACCAGTCGTACCTAGGGATGGGTGTAAAATTATGAAAGTCCTTGCCGAATAACACGCTGATAAATGCCGAAGGGTTACCCTAAGGTCTCCGAGTTTATTGGTCAAGATCCTGTGTGGTAAACATCAGCCAATCGGTGAGTAAATTTACTGTCAGCTTTTTTGATCGACAAAACATAAGGCCTTACAAACTCTCAGACTCTCTCGATTGTTTCAACTTGCGATCCAGAAACGAATTCTCTGAGAAATATTATCAGCTCACAATGTTTTTTCTGAAATGCAAAAGTTCACATGTGACCAGTTGTTGACCAAGTCGACTGCACTCTTAACCAAACAACAACCCTTAAGGAATTGGCACCTATTCTCGGACACTTTCACTGATGAAAATATCGTGCGTTTTTTATCATTTAGAACGGCGAACTTACCTTTTAGAGCATCTCTAATGCTTGTGTAATACCATTTTAGAACATCATGTTATAAATAAATAAACTAGAGTACTTTTTAAGCAAATTCAGGCATGTACTTCATGAACCTATTCTCGAGCAGTGTAACCTTTTCTCGGGTAGCTATTACCCATTGTCAGGCAACTCAAGAAACTTGAAGAAAATGCATCGAAATTGACTAAAACACACTAAATAATTGTATGAGGCAATAATTCAGCTTTTAAATAAAAATATAAACGCAATTTAAGAAATGATTCTATCAATTATCGAGCAACGAAAACACACTTCCGGTTAAACC